GTTAGCTTCATGATAATGGTGATAGGGGAATATGTTGAGAGATGAAGACGATACAGACCGCGAAAGCGATTGAGAATCCTCATTGAAGTAAGGACTTTGTTACTTAATCTCGGCTCTGCAGACTCTACAGTGAGAGCTGGAGGTTCGTAGGGGACACCACTGATAGGTGTTGAGAATAGTCCCCCAAAATTATTTCTAAAAAACTCCCCTTGACAACAGATTCAGACAAAACAATGTCTATTAGAGCAAAAAATATCGAGAGTAAATTTATCAGTAGTTATATAGACGTCAAAAATATCATTGAAGGGAAAAGAATATGCAGACCTGCAAATTTCACCATATTTCACGATTCCTTTTCAACGGCAAGAAATGATATCAAACCAAAGGAATTATATCGAGATGATCTCCCACCGCCACCTAAGAACCACAAAGAAGTCTCTCAACACAGGTTTTCAGCAGGGTTCAAAGCAGCGGAAGAAAAAGAGTTCAATACCCTTTTCGACAAGAAACTATGTTCTATTGTAAGCAGGCAAGAAGTTCAGCACATGAAAAATACTGGAAAACTAGATATCAAAAAAATAACCCTTCCTCTAATGTGGGATTACACTTACAAGTTTAATTCTCCTAGCTATTTTTTGTCATTTAAAGCAAGACTTATTGGAAGGGGAGACTTACAAAGCACCACAGACGAAACCTTTGCAGCAACACTGGCAGCACAAGTATTTAGAGCAACTATGGCAATTTCAGCAGTATAAGAATATAAAATATGACAATATGATATAGTTGCTGCTTATACTAACGCGAGTCTCCCTCAGCCAATAGTGGCTCACTTACTAGATGAGTTTAAAAAAGGCGGGGAGTTCCTGCTGATCAAGAAAGCTTTATATGGATTACCTGAATAAGCTTTACTATGGCAAAACCACCTTTAATTAACACTCATAGATATTGGACTCTTACTTATTGTCAAGGGGAACTATTTCACCTACTCATGTAAACTAAGTTAGTCAGGTCACATGACCTGACTATCAGTACATATACTTCATCTGCAGCATCAGGGCTATCTAGTCAACATTTACAACGTAATACCGTGTCCCATGTATCTTTCTTAAGACTTATATCTGGCGTCAATTGTTTGTTAAGTAATGAGTGACTCATCGTTCTTTTATATGTCGATGATATTATAGTAATTTACCACGAAAGAGGTAATGATGCGGTAGATTCTTTTGAAAGTCTTCTTATGAGAAAATATCAAACAAAACCAATGAGTTATATTGATCATTTCCTTGGTACACGAGTGGTCAGAAATGAGTTAGTGCGAAAAATATGGCTAATGCAGGATTACTATATTGACATAATCGCGAAGGAATTCAACATCAATACCGAAGATGAAAAAGTCCCGTCAACCCCACTTCCACTGTAACCTCTAACTAAAAGTTGTGGTCAGGCCACAGCACGAGAGATTCATTAATATCAGAGAAGGGTTGGAAAATTAAACTACGCAGCAGTTATTACTAGACTAGACATAGCTTATGGGTATCGAAACTTTCCAAATTTCTTCAGAATCCATCTCGTCAACATTTGGAGGCTGCTGATCATATGATTAAATAAATATTAGCAACAAAATATAGGGGTAACGAGTATAATGTTAATTTAGCGAAAGTAACTGGAAAAGTATTTATTGCATCAAGTGACGTTTCATTTGTATATGAAAGGGAGACACGATGTAGTTCAAACAGATTCTGTGTTCAGCTGTTTGGTGGAATGATACATTTGAAAGCAACTAAACAGAAAACAGTCACAACTTTCAGCACTGAAGCCGAATTACTAGCACTCACAGTCACATATAAAGAATACACTTGGTGGACGATACTCTTTCAAAACCTCAAATTCGACGTCGACTCTCCGGTAATATTGTGTGACAATCAGCAAACTCTAAGACTTCTTCAAAAAGTGACCCCCAGGCTTGCAATTAAGCTAAAACATGTCGATATCCACCAATGTTGTCTAAGACAAGAAGTTCAAAGCGGAAAAATAAAATTTGAATGGATAGAAACCAAGAACATGATTGCAGACGGATTTAGAAAGCTTCTGACGCCTCAAAGGCATCGTATATTCATAGATTTGATGAAATTGGTCGATGTAAAAATCAATAATTAAATTCAAATCTCCCCTCTCCAGTCTCGAGTCTACAGATTCGAGCCTGGGGGTGTGTCGAAGCACCAGTCTTTTGTGCGCGCTAAATTTACTTATATTGATTGAGAGTTTATTTGCAAATTTTCAGCATTTATCATTCCCTTTTCCTTTACGCGCGCGCTCTGATTAAGCTTACCAAATCATGTTCACTCATTTTATTTATGCGCGCGTTTCATACTAGAGATTCTTGAGGTTGTAATTTTCAGGAGATTGACATCGGAAACTGTTTCTTACTCAATTAGTTCAACTCAATTAAGACTGATAGGCCAAGCAGAAATGATATGATTGATGATAAATGGCTCGAATGTATTGAAGCTAGTGAGGGGAGATCTGAAGAAGGGAGAGAATGGAATCCACTTCAAACATTTCTCAAAGTATCTCCGTGTCGTTCAATAACCTAGTAGGTGATATGATTGTATCTAAATAACCACATATCTCAACAGAAACTTCTACGCAAAAAAGTGAAAATGGTATCAATGGAGACTTTTCACGCGCAAGCAGTCTCCATTGCTACCATTTTTATTATTTTGGATAGGAGGTTCCGTGGAAATGGTGGCCGAATTCCACGGGTAAGCACTGAGCTGAATGGCTATTCATCACGGGCAACATATCAATGAGCCCTTTATTAGCAAAATAGGGTACGAGTGCTGTACAAAGTATGGCATGGGTTAGAGAGGGGGCCAATTTGCTAATGGCCTTTGAGTCAGGTTTTACAATATACACATACTTGCACTACTCCTCTCAACGCCTTTTTTAACCAGGTGTTTATCGCCATTTCTACCCCACCTAAACCTGACAAGGGCCCAAAGCAGTCTAGCGAAGCAGATTCGAAGTGAGCACATGGGGTTCAACTCGTATTTATATTGAATAATAGCACCCGGAGTCTACAGTCCAAGCTGTCCAAGTAGCTACCAATCGTAGAACCCCAAGCATTTAATCATATCCTGCCCTCGATGGTCAAATGGAAGAGAGATCTGGAGACAAGCGAAAGATCGGCCCTACGAATTTCATGGATAAGCAGTAGGGTATAACTAATTTGTTTTATTTCCGACGCAGTCTATATGACGGTAGGCTATTAGGGTAGTGCTTGATCTTGGTAAGCTAGTGAGTATGTTCGGATTAGGTCCTGGTCAACGATGTCTAGCCTAATTGTGCTATGTTGCAGGCTACTGTTCCAATTATTCATGGGGTCATCATCAGGGTTGTGAGTAGTTTCGGCTTTGGTGTGGGTTGTTAGATTGATACCTAAGCGTGTCGCATAGTAGTCAGACATGCGACTCGAGTAGCATATGCATGGTAAACCTCAACCCCAAAATGATGATACGAATCAGGCTTTACATGCTACGTCCTATATGGCTAGCGTAGTTGGAATATGAGGAATTTACCTGTAGATAGATAAAGACGTTGTAGCCCTCTGATAGTTGGGACAAGTCTTCTACAATATTATATCGGAATCAATACTAGCCTCTCATTAAGCAATCTCATGAATTATTTCCAATGTCTGTGATAACAGACATACATATACAATATCGACAACAAGTTTTAAAGTCGATAAGAGTAGGTGTGGATACAAGAGTCTAGAAAGGTAAAGGTAGTCTGGTGCTAAACAAGTAGTCACCACATCGTCTCCTATCCTGAAGCGCTAGTGGTAATGTCCTGTATATAGTCTGGTAGGCGTGGGAGAGTTCTCTCTTCACGCAACGTCTTCTTACATTCTGTACACATATTGTACCACCTCACATCTCTCTTCCTTACAGAAGACCATTTCACTGCTATCCTATAATCATATTCAATACCCCTTCGTGCCCTACGGAACGTTAGTAGTAAGCTCCCTGAGAACGAAGCAACGATAAACATTCCTGAAGACATTAAAAGGATAACACAGTGGATCCTAAACCATGGTTGGATAGAGCAATTCCAGATAACAATGGCGGTCGAAATGCTGCTGAGGGAAAGGAACAGGTCAAGTAATGCTTGTGGCGGTTAGAGATGATGTGGTTGGTTTACATGGGTGGCATTATAGCGTAGCTGCGCTTCCCAAAGGATATATTAGAAAAACAAAGAAATTAAATAGTAAGGTTTGGTAGGTTTTCACCAGATGGTTTCCTCCCATGTAAATTAGAAAGTATGATTGACACCTGCATGGGTCCATAGGGCGCCAAATCAGGATAATAAATTCAAATTCAAAATTCAAATATAATTAAGAATAAATTCCCTTCTGTAGGATCTCGCGAACGGGAGTAGGGCGTTCCTTCGAAACGTACATCTCTCACCGTGGGATTTTTGAGAGAGATCTAGATTGTATGGGTCTCAGAAGTCCAGAATGCCGTACAATAAGTACGCATAGTACTGATGAAGTGCAATAATTAGATAGCTGAGTACACATCAAAAGATTTGATAATATGTTATTTCCAATAAATTGTACTTTAAAGAATTTGAGAAATTTTTGAAAATTTTATAATCGCACGAGGTTGATTCAAAATCTCTAAGTGTCTATGTTCAAAATAGAGAAGTAAATTATTTTTGGCCTTAGTCTTGAATGTACCATCCATTTGTTGTGTTAAAAACAGCGTGACACAAGTGCACGGGCCATTTAAACCTAGCCCAAGGGTCGTTAATCAGTAACATGATACTAATTCGGACACGTTTGACAACACCGTATTCACACTTTCGTAATCTGACACGCTCGCATTCACACTGTCATTAAACTTGGACTCTAGTTCAAGGCTTTCCAACCATCCAATTCATTACTCTAGACTCCAAAACATATAAGTCAAATACTGTCAAAGAATTCGAGGTGTGCCAAGATGGCTCAAACGATTACAAACTCTGGCCATGATGATATGATTGTAATTCTACTTTCACTTCTTCTAACAGAAATAGTTCTTCTATAAAACCCAATAACTGACTGTTTATAGCACGATGCAGTTTTGGATTACTACGGCCGTCGTCTGGCTACATGTTCATCTGATAGAACTGTTAAAATATTTGAAGTGGAAGGTGAATCGCATAAGCTTGCTGAAACTCTCAAAGGGTAAGCTTTCTTTTCGATGAATGACTGGTAATTCTAAAAACTCTTTTAGCCATGAAGGTGCAGTGTGGTCCGTCTCATGGGCACATCCAAAATATGGGAACATCCTAGCATCAGCCGGTTACGACGGTAAAGTTCTCATATGGCGTGAACAGGGTACAAATTGGACGAAAGCCTTTGAATTTGCACTCCACACAGCGTCAGTAAATACAATTTCGTGGGCACCGCATGAATCTGGATGTCTACTGGCCTGCGCATCTTCTGACGGCAATGTCTCTGTTCTTGAGTTCAAAGATAATTCTATGGACCACCAAATCTTGCATGCTCATGGTATGGGCGTCAATTCTGTTTCTTGGGCGCCCAGTACTTGTCCTGGCTCAATGAGTTCAAGCGCTGGAGGTCAGGGTGGGGTCAAACGTTTTGTCACAGGTGGCTGTGATAATGTGTTACGTTTATGGAGTTTCGATACGGCATCTCGAAGCTATAAATCAGAACGAGAACCGCTGACAGGTCATACGGATTGGGTACGTGATGTTGCATGGTCTCCTACTTTCCTACAGAAGAGTTATATTGCATCTGCTAGTCAAGATAAAACTGTGCGGATCTGGACAAGTGATCCAAGTCAGCCTGGTAATTGGAACAGTAAAGTATTACAATTCGAAGTCGTAATCTGGAGAGTTAGTTGGAGTCTAAGTGGCAATGTATTAGCCGTAAGCGGAAATGACAATACAGTGAGTTTATGGAAAGAAGACTTGAAGGGGGAATGGAACTGTGTGAAAACCATTGAGGAATAGCCTAATGGCAAGGAAATTTCACTTAATCCTTAAATCTCGCTCTGCAGGATTTGGCATCTATCGAGGATCCGGCTGTTCGGTGTCAAAACTTGGCTACTGAGTGTGAAGATTTGGAAAATACCCTGTACAACTAGTTCTGGAGTTCTGGTGAGGTATATTCGGTTTGGCTCGTAATTGTTAATATATCATGTCTGTGATATTTGGCCTCGAGTTCACTACATCATGGTCTTCTGGATGACTATACAGTACACCTCTGATTCAAGCAACAACTGCTAGACAATTTTACAGCTCAAGTTATGGATAAGGATCTGCTTATCACAGCTGCTTCGATTAGTTCATTAGAGGTAAATCTTGTAAGATTTTCTCGAACTCATATGAAAATCAGGAGTGATCTGCTGCGAAAAAGTATCTAATTACAAAAAATGCCTTCTGACATTAAAAGCTTGCTGCATTGATGAAGATCCTACATGATTTACCAAAGTTGGATAATTCAGGGAAAGCTACAAAATAAATATTTGTTGGTAGTATGCTCAGCTAGCCACATGCGCAAGGGGGCATTCATAATGTCTTGTGGCCATCAAAATTGTCGAACAGTGGCACCAAAATCTCTGACGAAAGACCATTTAAGCTGATATTTAGTTGTGTTTTCTTACGTTGTCATTGTATTTGGTAGAGATAGATGACTTAAATTTAGACCAAACCATGAAGATCAATTGTTTTCCAACTTCCCCAACGAATAGACTTATACCCGAACGTTACAATAGCACAAAAGTATTATGATCAAGAGGAAGGGGATCGCATACAAGTACTAGCTTTAATTCTGTGATGCGCTAGTGACTATTATGGAGAGGACGATGGTATGTGTTTGCCTTCTAAGACTCATTATATCGATGATTGATATCTACATATAGGATAATACTACTATTTATACCTGTAACTCGTCTATCTACTTGCTAGCAAAATACTCCAACCTGCAATATTGAATATTTTACATTCTTATCCATACTATCCATGTACAACTGTCTATGATGTCATAACACCAACCACACCTTATATTGGTTTCTATATCATCTATCACTGCTTGCCTGATTAGCTTAGAGAATTCACTTAATAACATAAAGCTCAACATCTGTCAGCAGTGTCCACTGAAATACAGGAGTGAAACATTCACAAGGCATAAATTTTAGGCATTTTTTTCATTGAAACTAATCTTATCTGCGAGGCAATGATTTAATACTTCCGGCTACTTCAATGAATCAGTCTCCACAAGTTGGGCTTCAATCAAAGTCTTGTCGAATCTAAAAGTACGATCTAGCATAACTTTAGAGAAATCGTATTTCTTTACGTCAGTCTCTAGCAATGGCTAGCCTACAACACGCCAGCGACTTTCGAGACGCATCACTAAATACTGAGGAGATACATCTACGGAAAAGATGATAGTCATTGTGAAGAGATGGATGGGATTAAGCTGAAAATGTTTGTAGTGATGTAAGGGCTGAATAATCGAGCAAAGTTCGCGTCATTATTTAGCTCAATGCTGGATGCTGCAACGGTACATCATTTAGGCTGGAATATTAAACTTAGTCTAGAAAGTTTGGACAACTCTCTAACATGAGACATAAGATCGCTGGTTCTAATCTAAATGGCTCGACCATGTTTTTCACAGTGCTCGTGTGTAAAAATGATGGGAGATGGAGGACAATGGCTGGAAACCTATCCGCTGTGTCTACGAACCTAGAATGAAATATTATCTCAGCTACAAGTTCGATCAAATTTCGCACTATCAGGAAGCTAGCCCACGACGTGATGATTCAAGACTCCCTGCCAAATCAATTTCTCCCTCCAAATGCCATCGATTCCGGCCAAAGCCTCATCGAGTCTTTAAGTAAGAACTTGTAAATTTTTACTTCAATGACCACACCTCTCAACAAATCAGATTCAAGCCTCAAATGGTCTCCACATCCAAGCCTACAAGAATATGAGTATACACCGAAGAAGATAAATTTCGGTGCACAAATCTAAGAGGCAGAACTTTAGGATGAGCGTGGGAGAGATCTGGTCAAGTGAAGATGATGATTCTAATGGTAGATACGATCTTAAGAGGGATAAGAATCTGAATTCTATTATGGATTGATTGATTAATTATTCATTAACGTGCTAGGTAAAATGACACCTGACGCACTCATAATGGAGCTTGAGCACGAGTGGGGCCGGGCTGGACCAGGTTAATTACCGTGAAGTACAAGTGTGACCGGAACCATGCCAAAATACATCTATGTATTGAATCATGAAGAGTTCAGCAGTACAGAATAGAAACAAACAAAAACTTTCACGCAGAATCCTGCATTACAAAAGAAAAAACTTATACAACCCCTTCCACCATTCCGCCTCACACACCACGCGCCCAAACCTCGATTCGAATCCCTCTCTCTATGCCAAGCCACCAAGGCTTTAGATATATGACCTCCGACTCGTGAAATCCATATCATCCCCGAATAGCCTCCGCGTATATTCCGCTCTCCTAGACGTGGTCTCTGAACAGCTACCATCCTTTTGGTCCGAGTAGGACCACCAGCGGAGGTGCCCTTCTTTTTCCGCTTTTTAGCCGCCATGTTACCAGTGCTTTTCGACATCGGACCAGGTGACCGATTGATTTTTCCCTCTCGCACTCGCAGTAGAGTTTGGCGTCAGTGTCGTTGAAGTGGCGATGATATGCCGCAAAGTCCCCATGTCCAGTTCGAGCAGCGATTAAGCGGGCATAGACCGCTCTCAGTAGCGCTAGCTCTGGCGGTTTCTTGCGGCGCATCTCGAGTTCAAGATTGGCGTAATGTTTGGGGCGATTCGAGTGCCACCAGTCTGTGAACATCTGCCTGGTCAGTTCACGGGCTTTCCGTCCAGATGAGGCGAGGGTCATTACACCATGTGTCGTCCTAGAGTTATCCGGCGAGTTAAGCTCTCTTCGAGCGAGTTAATCGGCGATTTCATTTCCTGTCGGCCCTTCGTGGCCCGGGATCCATCCTATTTTTACAGGCGCGGCTGATCTAGCGGCCAGTTTCACGAACTTTTGGATTCGCCAGGATGATGAACCTGTTGTTCCCGTCAGTAAAGCCTGCATAGCCGCGGAATTTTCGAGCAGGGAATAGATGGCACTGCGATCTCGATCTCGCTTGCTGGTAGTGATTGCTTCAAGATCAGCCAGAGCTCCATAAACCTCCACCTCGTAGACCTCCGCATTTATAATTTTGCCTGAGTAGCTTTGCTCAACTACCATGCCTGTACCACTGATAGAGGTCACAAAGGCCCATGATGCTCTGTTGGTGGACGCTCCAGAACTATCACCGTAAACGCAGAGACAGTCGGGTGGGATGGTAGGTAGCCACTCTCTTATAAACTTAGCAGCATCATTCTTGTTTGTCCAGCAAGGATTCGGCTGGAGGGGTATTGAAAGTTGGAGCGGTAGAGGGAGTTCAGCCTCTGGCAGAATGTGTGCTGGTGGGATACCAATCTCTCTTCTCAGGGCTATGTTAGGCATTGTGCGCCAGGTTGGTAGAGCCACATGGATTCCGAAGTGTTGGGAAATATACTCTGTACGATATTATATGGATATATTTGATGAAAGAAGACTTGATATTTTACAACTACGAGTGTTGGTAAAACACGAAGTAATACAAATTGGGTGCCGTCACGAAGTCGGTGATTAATGTCAATTTTTTTTTAATTCATTTTATTGTCCTGTCTGAGTCTATGACTATGTAAGACAAGCAGGTCTTCTATGCCCACAGGCCAAGGATACCTATACCGGTAGTATATCCCCTCCTATGCCTCCCATACAGCTCCCCTCAAACAGTACCACCCCTCACAAGTCCTCATTCGATCAGACACTGAGAGGAGCCCTTTGCCCTTCATTATCTCCCCTCTCCAGCCAACGAAACGATGGCCATTTGCGGGTGTATGGCAGCCGGGAAAAATCGCAAAAACCACTGGGTGCGGGGCTCTTCTAATACCTACATTAGGAATAAATCCGAAGACATAGTGACCCTTCTGATGCGTTCGAAGAGGCAGGCCAGCTGGGCGCTGCAGACTTGTGTGTACCTCGGAGAGTTCACCCTCTGCCTTTCTAGCCTCCTTCCCGAAGGTTGTGCTGAAATGTCAGAAAGGTCTTGACAGCGTGATTGCTGTATAGTAACTTAGCCCAACTTCTTTTGTACCGTCCAGGGCGCTGGGGAGTGCCATTGACTCATCGACAAAAGAAGCCCTCCTGGCTAATTAGCCGAAATCTTGGTCTTGGCGCCCACACAGAATTCAAAGTTGAAAACTCCTCGAAAATGTCAGTCCCGGCATGATCTTCAAAGACCTGTTCCCCTCTCGTTCCATTCCTCAGCCGCCTATCATTCCTCAAGATGAATAACCCCATTAGAGCAGCAGTCCCCTATAAACCAAGACCCCAACTTTGTATTTTTCGACCTGATTTCCTCCTTGCGGGTATAAATAGCGTCGTAAATTTGTAGTGAGTGATGGCCGGCGATGAATGAGGCAAGCTCCTATTTGCAATTGGGGTGAGGCCTTTATCGGTCGGCGAGGCGAGATGATATATGTCTAGATCGGGGTGGAGAACTCAGAAGATAATGGTGAGTGCTGCATGGTTGAGAAGTCGTCAAATGGAGATATGCATGTGTTTGCTTTCAACTTCGATTCGGATGCGATTCTTCTTGGCTATCCCAGAAATACAGAGCATACTGAGCGATTACACCGGCACCACTGGAAGGTGAAGAATTCGTCTTTGCCGGCATTATGTCAATTAACTGGTATCTCGAAATACGTAAAACGATGTCTCTCCTTTTCCTTTTCCCTTTCCTTCTCCATCTCCCCTTCCTTCCTCTACTCCTAGCGCCTCGCTAATGAGCTTAATCAGACCCCTGTCAGTGTCCTAACGACAACCTGAACAACGCAAATACATAGAACAATTCATACTGCCAAAATATGATCCTTTTACCGATAAC